AGAACCGAAACAGATCAGCAGTGAGACAAAAAAGATCTCCAGCAAATAAAAGCCCTAGGACCAGATAGATTCACAGTTGAATTTCACCACAGTTTTAGTAAAGAATTAACACGAATGCTCATAAAACTATTTCATGAAATGGTAAGGGAAGGAACTTTGAGACTCAGTCTAAAAGGCCACCATCACTCTGATACCAAAGCTAAATGAGGCTACAACAAAAAAATGTATAGATGAATATCCTTGATGACCATAGACTCAAAAATCCTTCACAAAATACTTCCAAACCGAATTCAGTAATACACTCAAAAGATCATACACCATGATCAAACTGGTTTGCAAGAATGCTTCAACAAATGAAGTTTAATAAATGTAATATGCCACGTAAAATAGAACTCAGGATAAAAATTGCATGGTCTTCTCAATTGATGAAGGAAAGCCTTCAACAAAATTCAACATCCTTTCATAATAGAAACCCTAAAGAAACTAGGTCTTAGGGCTGGGGATTTAGCTCAGTGGGGCCACACCTGCCTTGCAAGCACAAGGTCTTGAGTTCGATCCCTGGTACTGGAAAACAAAACAGAACAAAATAAAACAAAAAACAATGAAAGTAGGTATTGAAGGATCATTCCTCAATATGGCATTTATAACAATACCACAGTCAACACCATTCTGAATAGGGGAAAACTGAAAGCATTTCCTCTCAAATAAGGAAGGAGGCGATGGTACCCACTCTCACCACTGTTCTCTAGTATAGTTCTTAAAATTTTAGCTAGAGGAATTATGCAAGAGAACAAATAAAAGGAAAGAAAGAAGTCAAATTATCCTTGTTTGCAGATGATGTGATCCTAAACTTAGAAGATCCTAGGGGCTACCAAAGCCTTCTGAAACCAATAGAAGAATCAAAAAATGTAGTAGGGTATAAAATTAACATTAAAAAAGCAACAGTCACACTATACAACAATAATTGACTAGTTGAGGAGGAAATCAGGAAAACAGTTTCATTTTCAATAGCTTCAAATAATGCCTGGGATCAAATCAACCAAAGGGTGAAGATCTCTGCCATAAAAATTTTAGAACACTGAAGAAAAGAAATTTAAGTAAACACTAGAAGATGGAGGGATGCCCCATGTTCAGGGATAGGCAGGATTAATATTGTTAAAATGGCCATACTACAGAACTACATCAAATTAAAAAGTTTCTGCACAGCAAGGGAAACAACTACCAGAGTGAATAAAATAGGAGAAAAATCTTTGCCAGTTACTCTTCTGACAGAGGATTAATGTTTAGAATATATAAAGAACCAAAAAAAAAAAAAAAACTTAACATTGAAAATCAAAGAGCCCAGTCCATAAATGGGAAAATGAATTGAAAGGGTATGTCTCTAGGGACGTACAAATGGCTAGGAAATATATGAAAAAATGTTCAACATCTTTAGCCATTAATGAAATGCGAATCCATTCTGAAGGTGGAATCAGTATTTGATTAGCAAGCTCAAAGCTTTGCTCTTTTTTTTTTTTTCATGATGGTGTCTTTCTAAGATGGGTGGATATGCTGAAAGTTTACCTGGTAGTTGCTATAGCTCACAAAAACGTGCTATCACTGAAGTAAAGCTATCTTTCACTAAATCAATGTCAGATACCATGGGAAGAATAACCCACTAATCTTTCATATTTAGTGAGAATTGGTTTCTTTAGAGGAATGCAAATTACCTTAAAGTTAATGGAATAAAGCAGGAAGCTTTTCCTTATGGAAAAGGAGGCAGGAAATAAAGGAGCCCAGGTTTTATTACAGCAAACAGAAGTGAGTATAGGTGCAGCCTTGGGTTTGTTTATATTATTTTGGAGTTTGAATGGATTTCAGGTTTTAAAAAAATTTCTTTTGTTTATTTTTTATTAGTAGACATTTGCATAGAGATCAGAATGCGAACGAATTTTTTTTTTGAGTTTATTGGTACAATCTATACAATACAGTTACATTCATCATTGGGATTCTGTACCTTTACATAATAGGTCTTGATTCTCATTTTTTCCCCTTGTCCCTGCCCTCCCTTCACCCCCTCCTCCCCTCCCCCCTTTCAAACACTTTAATTCCATGTTTACATTTTCTCATATATTTTTCGTTTTCCCTTGTTCCCCCTTCCCTATCCTTCTCACTGTCCCTACACCTTTGGTCCTTTTCTTCCTATTTGCTAAGTGTCCCATTATGCTGGGAGTTTTTACATGTACATAGCACACCTTAATTCTTGGTTTCATCCCATTTCCTCCTGTCCTTTCCCCCTCCCTCCACCTCTCCATCTCCTCATTTGAACAGAATCTATCTTCCTACCTCCTATTATCTTTCATTTTGCTCTTTATTTAGATTTTGGGCTTCTTATATAAGAGATACCATGTGGTATTTAAGCCTGTGTATTTAATTTACTCCATTTGACCCAGCTATTCCCCTTCAGAGTTAGAATCACCATATTACAGTGATACATGCACACCGATGTTCATAGCAGCACAATTCCTAATAGCTACAGCTTGGAAGCAGCCTGTATGTCTGTCAAGAGACGAATGGATAAAGCAAAGGTTTATACGCAATGGAGCACTACTGTGCTGTAAAGTAGGGTTTCATGGTTTGATTCATACCTTTATGTTGAAGCTAGACAAGTTCTAAGAGCTCTGTAACATGAAATCATTGCTTAGTACCCTTCAAGATCAGTTCTGTTTTACTGGTGAACTTAGCTTTTGTATGTATGACCCTAACAGTATTTACATTTTGTGGATTAACTTACATGTGTTATCAAGATCTTATTTCTTCGTCGTCTTTTTTTTTTTTTTTTTTTTTTTTTTTTTTTGTACTGAGGATCGAACTCGGGTCCTTGGGCTTGTGAGGCAGGTCGTGGAACCACTGAGCTAAATCCCCGACTTAAAATCTTGTTTCTTTTCACAACAATATGGCACATGGGCTCAAATGACACATGAAAGCCGTCAGACCCCTCAAAGACTTCTAGATTCCATTTCAAATGATATCTTTCGAATGTCCAGCTGGCAGGGCCGGGGATTTAGCTCAGTGGTTCTGCCGCCTGCTTTAAAAGCACAAGGTCCCGAGTTTGATCCCCGGTTTGTTTTTTTTTTTTTTTTTTTTTTGTACTGAGGATCGAACTCAGGTCCTTGGGCTTGTGAGGCAGGTCGTGGAACCACTGAGCTAAATCCCCGACTTAAGATCTTGTTTCTTTTCACAACAATATGGCACATGGGCTCAAGTGACACGTGAAAGCCGTCAGACCCCTCAAAGACTTCTAGATTCCATTTCAAATGATATCTTTCGAGTGTCCAGCTGGCAGGGCCGGGGATTTAACTCAGTGGTTCTGCCGCCTGCTTTAAAAGCACAAGGTCCCGAGTTTGATCCCCTGTACTGAAAACAAAAAAACAAACAAAAACCCCAAACTGTTACCATAAATGTCCAGCTGGTGATTATCAATGGCTAAGATGTTTCAAGCTTAACAAATTGTTGTGGACCCTATATCGCTGTTCTTAATTTCTCCCCAGTGTATACCCTTTCTGATATTATGGCCTTTCTGTGTGGCAGAGTATGATTCCTTATAATGATATATTTCTATAGTTATGAATTTAAAGCCCTTGTTTTCATTTAATTGTTAAGATGGGCCAGCATGACACCGCACATCCAAAGAAGAGAAAAATATGTCAGCAAATAAAAAAATTGTTACTTTTTCTTCATCTATTCCCCAAGGAATTGTCCATACTTGCTTTTGACTGCCATGCACTTGCGTCTTTTGTCTTCAGTTTCTTTTGAATGTTCTCTTGTCTTTCCAGGTGAGACCAGGACAGTTAACAGGCAGATAACGGACATACTTCTTTATTTTGTTTAAGATACATTTCAGGGGTCTATTCCTGTGCTATTTCAATTTGGGAACAACCATTAATATGCATCTGTTCTTAATTATTAGGGGAGAGGGGCAAATACAAATGAATGCTATGTACCTGCTAAGGACTCACAATCTATTTGGGGTGAAAACAGATGCATTTTGGAGTCTAATACCTGACAGACTGTGGCAGGTGATGTGATAGAAAGCTATGAAAATACAAGAGAAAAGGAGGTATTTCCAGCTTGGGAAAATTGATGAGAAAGTGTTTTATATGGATCTGAAGGAAGTATTAGTTTTCACTTGGCCAGTATGGAAAGGGAAGGAGTATATTTGAGATAAAGAGAAGACTGAGCAAAAGAGCAGCAGGAAAGCTTTGTGTGTGATCAAGCAGTGGCAATAACCAGTGATGGTGGGGGAAGGAAAGAAGTCCAGAGATATAGTAAGAGAAAAGCATGTTTTGTTTTGTTTTTTGGTACTGGGGATCGAATTCGGGTCCTTGCACTTGCCAGGCAGCCGGCGGCACCACTGAGCTAAATCCCCGGCCCGAGAAAAGTATGTTGAGTCCAGATTGTATTGCACTTAGAGTTTTGGATTAAAGAATATGATTCTATTCTATATACATAGGAGAGTCCTGCAGATTCTGTTTTTCAGAAGGGTAATCTTGTGGTATAAATGAGGAGAAGAAGGACAAAAGACTAGAAATTAAGAGAGACACTCCTTAGGTGGAGGAGACAGAATTTGAAATGTTAGCACACGGGGAAGGTGAGGGACAGAAGGAAATAGAAATGATCTAGAGTTTTAAAGTTTAAGTGCTTAGGAATACTCATGGCAAGGGTAAGTCAAGATGCACAGTACACTGTAGGATTAAGGCCAAGGAGAATGAAAAAAGGGGCTTGGGTAGTGCTATACTGTGTTTTTCCTTTCATATATTGTAGTATACCATATTTCCATTTCATCCTAGTCAGATTTTAGTAAGCCCTTTTCTAATTTCACAAGGTAGTGAGAGGTGGCAGAAGTAGTGTAGCAATTTATTTTTAAACAAATATAAACAAGTTGAGCCAATTTAATGAGATTAACAAGACCATGGGTCCAAGGAATTGAGAAGTTTCTTCCAGTTAGAATGAAATTCGGCCTAAGTTATGACTAGCTTATTGAGCATTTGTCCCATGCAGCAGCCCCTGCACACAGTGGTAGGGAGGTGATGAGGTGGCTGCCGAGCCTGTGCTCACTGTTTTTCATTCACACTCCCTCGACCCGCTGCTATCCTCTTCAGAGCAGACTTCACGTCCTGGTTCCTCAGGGTGTAGATGAGGGGGTTCAGTAAAGGTGTGACCACGGTGTAGAACACAGCCACTGCCCCATCCAGGGGGCTCTGGGAGCCTGCTCGAAGGTAGATAAAAATACAGGGGACATAGTAGACCGTGACCACGGTTAGGTGGGAGCCACAGGTGGAGAAGGCCCGGCGCCTCCCATCGGCAGTGCGTATCTTCAGGATGGCGCGGACTATGTTGGCATAGGACAGCAGAATCAGCATGAAGCAACTGGCGGCCACTACCCCGATGTCCACAAAGGTCACAAGCTCATTGACCGATGTGTCAGCACAGGCCAGTCTCAACACTGGAGGAATATCACAGAAAAAATAATCCACCTGATTGGGTCCACAATAGGGCAGGCGGAAGGTCAGAGTGGCCTCGATAGACCCATGGATGGAGCCGGCCACCCAAGCTCCAGACACGAGGATGGTGCAAAACCTCCCATCCATGAGCACAGGGTAGCGCAGGGGCTGGCATATTGCGAGGTACCTGTCATAGGCCATCAAGGTGTAGAGGAAGCACTGAGTGCTGCCTAGGAAGTGAAAGAAATACAGCTGAGCCACACAGCCACCAAATGAGATGGTCTTGCTGACCGGAGTGAAGTTTAAAATAATTCGAGGAACGATGACGGAGGAGAGCCACATGTCCAGGAATGAGAGCACACCCAGAAGGATGTACATCGGGCGGGCATGGAGCTTGGGGTCAGCCCACACGGTGAGCAGAATGAGCAGGTTCCCCAGCTGAGTCAGGACGTAAATGATGAAGAAGACCAGGAAGAGGAGAGTTCTGAGCTTGGGGGGATGAGGCAAGCCCAGGAGAATGAAATCAGTCACCACTGTGTCCAGCGATGTGTTGTTGCTCCTTCTCATGCCTTTCTGTGTTCTGCTAAGATAAAGGGTGGAGTCAGACAAGGAAAACGGCACAGTGATGGTGTAAGCAAGTGCTTTTGTTGGATGATTAATGATGAGGTGTTATGATAGAAATGAAATTGTGTAATTTTTGAAATGCGGATATCATGTCACCACCACTGACTACTAGGTTTATATTACAGGGAAATTCCTTCAGAGGCTGGTTAATTTCCTTACTGGATAGAATCTCATGTCTTTTGGGAGACTCCAAGAAGCAGGATTTGGCAGATTAAAGAACAAGGGAACATGTGAATTACTGAGAAGGACCAATAATTCCAACTGAAAGGGAGTAAGTGAGAGATTAAGGTTGACACTGAGCAGTATGGAACAAATACTCTGCCATCATGACATTGAATTTTTTTCTTCTTTACTTAGCATCACTTAGGACCTTGTGCTAGCAAGGCAGGCAAGGAGCCTCTGAGCTAAATCCCTGGTGCACAAATGATTCCTTTTTGTCCCCAGCTAAAATTCTATCTCCTTACACAGCATTCAAGGGCCAGGGATTTATTTTAGTGGTTCCGGTAACTGTCTTGCAAGTGCAAGGTCCCAAATTCGATCCCTGGTACCAAAAACAAAAACAAAAACAAAACCGCAGATATTCATTATCTAGCTTTTATTTACCATCCTATCATGCCCCTTGCAATTTCTTCTCGGTGTTTAGTTGCACGGGATGGCTTAGGGGTCTCACAGAAGCATGAACCAACATGAGAACTATGCACCCCTTACCCTTCCCGCTCCCTTCCTCTAGGTAGTCCTGAATCCCAGAGGGATTCCGTGGCAAAGTCTTTACCGCCAAGAAGTCTTTCTGATTTTGGGGAACCATGCTTATACTTCTCAGAGCATGGATCACACGATATTGCCATTGCCTAAATTCTTACTCATCTCACCCGTTAGTCGCCCCATCTAGTACAGTAAACACGATAAATAACTATCACCTGAATGATTAAACAGCTGACTGAAGGGCTAGTCCCAATTACTACTGATCTGATCCAGTGTTCTCTGATTAATTTTGTTGGTTTAATCCCGGTGCCCACATGGCTTGGACTTAGGGCAAGGAATCATCTCCTTCACTAAATAATAGATATCTAGTTTAAGTATAACATTCTGTAACGTTGTAAGGAGCATTCATGCTATTTATTGCATTTATTACAGCGTAACATTTAGATTTATGTCTTCCACTTATTTGAGATTGGATTCTTTGTAAATGTTTAGAGGAGTTTTTATTATTGTAAAACTATTTACAAATGACTCGATCTTGTGTGCCTTTAAAATATGTATATATAACATGACCCGATCTTTAGTGTCTTTAAAATAAATTTGTGTCTATATATCTATATCACAACTCTCTAAAGACCCTAAAGAAAAAAAAATAAAGGGCTTCAAGGATTTTCAATTCTTTGAGCCAGATGACAAGAAATGTGTTTACTTCACTGTTTCTGTCAAACAGGGCATGTGATTAAGATCCCCCTGTTAGGGTTTGAGATGCATTCATATTTTGCTTAATCATAAATTATCTTCTCCTGTGTGTTTTTTTTTGGAGACAGGGTCTCACTATGTAGTTCAGGCTGGACTTGAACTCACTATATAACCCAGGCTGGCTTTGAATTTGAGACGGTACTCTTGCTTTAGCCTCCCAAGGGCTGGGATTATGGGATCATCCTGGAGAACGGTTACCATCTAAATTTTCACTCAAAAATAACGGAAGTTTAAAATTCAATAGAAAAAGCACTTGAAAATAACAATCTAGTGACACCAAAAAAAAAAAAAAAGATTTTTTTCCTTCAAGTTTTTGAAAAGCAATTATCTTGCAAACTCTAGGGAAAGGGCTGTGGTGTGGAGTAAGTGACTTGAGAATGTAAATGAAGGGACGAGGACACTGTCGAGACCCCTATGGGTCATGAGATCACAGCATTAGCTGCTTTCTGTGCGGCCCTGTGAGCACATTTGTATAGCCTTTCCATTTACAGTGGCTCACAGCAGGGCAAGCTCTCAGGTAGCTGCTGGAAACTTTGGCTTTCTACAGTGACCTTCTAAGCCGAGGGACAAGAAAATTCTGAAGATGGAGCAGGAAAGACTGATTCAGTGTTATGTCACATGGACTGTGCCCTGAGGACCCCTATTTCCCTGTGGGACAAGCCTCAACCTGAATTTTTCTGGAAAGGGGCATCACTCACGCACAGTTATCCTGTAGAGCTAGGGTGTGGAGTAGAAGACAGGGACAGAAGTTGAGGTGGCCTGGCCATGCTTTGTCTAATTCACAGAGTGGATTCTTGTCCTTTACCAAAGGATAAACAAGAATAAACTTGTTTCGGGAAAGGTGCTTCGTGCTCTCTTCAAGGGAGAACAGACAGTTTGTGAATCAGGCCCGTCTTTGTGTTCACACAATTAACAAAGACTCTTCTTCATGACCCCTGTGACTTTATCATTGCCCAACTCTTCTCTCTGTCACTACCCGAATAAAAAGAGAAAATGAAAAGAAAATAGTGGTTTGATTTTTTGGAGCCATTTTAAACTCAAAGGGCAACTGCCCATATTTGGAAAGAAGGAATTTAATCCTGGCAATCAGAGAAAGAGCTGAGGAAGAAAACAGAGAAAACAGACCGATTAAATTAACCTGCGGCTACCATTACAGAAAGTCGGTAAATTCAAAGTTAGTTTGCTGCCGTATTTTGGATGGAGCATGTTTCAGCACAGCTTTTCCATCATCTTAGACTCACATGCGCAGAAATGCAGAACTGCGGAGGAGGTTGGCTGTTTCTGAGTGGAATGGTCTCACAGGTAGAGACGTCTTTCAGAGGTTCAGCCTAGTTTATTGTATGGGGCTCCCACATTTGTTGTGGAAAGGCTCCTTAGGAGTCTGACAAGCGAGGAAGTGTCCGGGATTTCTGCGAGCACCTGTCTGCATTTCAGGGCTCTTGGATGAGTGTGACTTCTATTTGCCTCGAGTCACACTTCACAACAGCTTTCATCAGTTTTGCCTCTTTATCTCTGATTGAAAGGAAAAATAAACAACACTGCCTAGAGATTTGAAGACAAATTCTAAGCTCAAGGGAAGTCTTACTCCAAAGTAGCTCCCTACTGAGAATTTCTCTCCCCAAATTCTCATTATTTTGTTTTGAGAGAGAGAGAGAGAGAGAGAGAGAGAGAGCGAGAGAGAGAGGGCAACATTCCTAGCAGATCCCTGGAAATGGAGCTCTGGGGAATAATCTCATCAGTGTGGTTTTAGATGGCCTCTAGTTTCTTGGAGATGTTAAGAGATCTCCATCTCTCCTCAAAACCTCACTGAGATTCGTCTACCACCTCCTTCTGGTTTCTGTGAAGACATCGCCTCATCAGGGAAGTCCTTCTTGACCTTCCTCCTCTATTTTATTCTTCGTAGTAGCACTTAACATCAGCTCACATTTATTTGTTTGTGGGTGTTTAGTGGTTTGCTTATTGTCTTCCTTCACTGGAGTGTAGGCTCCATGAGAAGAGGGAATTTTGCTATCTGTGGAATCCCAAGCAGTACTAGAAAAGTGTCCCACACATAGTAGGTTCTTAATATATCTCTTTGAATGGGTTAACAGGGAAAACTATGACACATATTAAATACTGCGAGTAGAAAGACAAAAAGAACTGCGGCTTCAAATATGAACCTTTGTTTAAAGTTGTCTGGAGTATGTTTGATATCAAGTTGATTCTCATATGTGTCCTCAGGTCCAGATAGCATATGCCAGTGCAAGTAGCTTTGGAAATCCATTTATTTATTTTACAAAAGATAGTATTGACCAAAAAACCACTGGGGATTTGGCTAGAAATAAAGTAAAGGGAGCCTGGACTATGATATAAGCTTTAGAATCCTCCGTGTAACCAAACAAAAGTTGGATGATTTCTAAGATTTCTTTAAATTCTAAATTACTAAGGAAGAAAATGATTAAAGTGTGTGTGTGTGTGTGTGTGTGTGTGTGTGTGTGTGTGTAAAATTGCAATGCTACATCTGGCCACAAGATGACAGTATCACCTTTATTAAAACCCTTTATCCCGTGATTGGAGTAAATAGAAATGTTCAGAGGGTTTATGAGGGATATAAATTACTATAGTAAATATACCATATTTAAAGCATCCATAAGTTTTAAAAAATGATGTGTCAAAAAGAGTTAACTAAGACTTGGAAAATAGTTTGAAATACAGACTTCTCCCTCCTCTTCTGTCCAATCCTTTTCCAGCCTAGGGTTCCTCCTTTATTGTCTTCTTTTTCTTTCTTTCTTTCAAGTTCTCATTTTATTACTCAAAAGCATCTCAAGTCAAACAAAATATAGATGTACAAAGGAAGGTTATTCTTTTTCACCATTCTCTTTTAATTCCAACCCTCTGAAGCAACTGATGTTAATAGTTTCTTTTATTTTTCAGTTTCTTCCTCTGTATTTATATATATATATAAATATACATGCACACACACATATAAAGAGTCCACAAAAATGTATACACACTAGGAAAAGAAAAACTTGTACAAATATCTTAATACTAAATTTATTGTGACATCATGAAATTAATATAAATTACCTTTGACGACCCCTACAATTATAAAAGGTCCTCAAAGTGGTGGCTATTAGCTTCCAGATATTTATTAGTACAGCAAACAACTGTATGGGTCATTGGGCTTGGTCACTGGGATTGCTGTACACGCATTTTCACATGTTTTTCTAAGGGCTGGAAGTGTAGTGGCTTTTCTGTAATACACAACATCTTTTAGGGTCCTCCATATGAGGATAACAACATCTGCTGAGAAAAATCGTACTATTTTTCTTTTCCTGAAATGTGTATACATTTTTTGGAGGACTTGTGTATTTGTGGACAGACATATAAAATATTTATTTTGACCTTTTAATTAGTCTCTGATCTTCTTTTTGGAGAGAAAGACAGTTGAAAAACTCTCCTACCTGTTTCCTATTGCCACAAACAATGATTATGACAACAAAAACAACACACACACAATATGTACACGACCCACTGACAACTGCAATTTTTAAAAGTTTCTCTTAAAACACTATCTTTTTGGGAAAAGAAACAGTATGAGGAGCAAAACATGGTGCATCTGTAATCCCAGCCCTTGAGAGGCTGAAGCAGGAGGGGCTGAAGGCCAGCCTGAACTACATAGTGAGTCCTTGCCTCAAACAAAAAAACAACCCCTCAAAACAAAACAAAACAAAAACCAAACCAACCAACCAATCAACCAACCAACTAAACAAACACATAAAACCTCAACCCTTACTATGAGGAGAATGGCTTTACCTTATGTTCTTGTTTATCTTCTCTATTTTGTGCACTGGATTCTGTTGTGCAAGCTTCACCAGAATTCCAGGATCAAAACCTGTGGAGAAGTCAGTAGAAATGTTCAGGGGAAGAGAGTCCTGCAAGGAACCCCAAGACTGCTCCTATGGAAGCTTGAAGTTTCCATTGAGAAAGAAGCTCCTCCCCTGGGTCCCTCTGAGTTTCACCCAGACAATGTGAAGGGGTGGCCTCCTGCAGAGGCCAGTGTCTCAGGAGCCAGGAAGAAGTGGGCAGCTGGTGGTGCCCTGCAGCAGATGGGGGGACTTTTCCTTCTTTATGTTTCACTGATGGTGGGAGGTAAGTCTCAACTTAATAGCAAATGCTACTGGGAATTTTCAAAATAATTTTCCTCCGGCTAGATGATCACAGTTTCTAACTTTTGTGACAAAAGAGTCTTTTCTAGTCGATTTTTCTCTGGAGGTGCCAACCACTCTGTTTCTGCCTAAGCAGCTTCCTCGTGAGTGCAGTTTTCCTGAGACCACATGGAAGAAGCATTTTTAACAGTGATGTGACTTCAGGAGTGTGGTCCTGGTAACAGGCATGTGTCCTCCTCTCACAGGTGTTGCGGGACAAAGTGTTGAGCAGCCCACTGAGTTGGTGGCTATGGAAGGAGCCTCTGCCCAGGTCAACTGCACGTTCCAGACATCTGGGTTCAATGGGCTGTCTTGGTACCAGCAACACAAAGGTAGAGCACCTGTATTCGTCTCTTACGATGTTCTGGATGGTTTTCAGAATAGAAGTCGTTCCTCTACTTTCCTTCGTCACTCTGATGGGTACAGTCACCTGCTTCTGAAGGAGCTCCAGATGAAAGACTCTGCCACTTACCTCTGTGCTGTGAGAGACACAGTGACTACGAGGCCTTCTCAGCTGTGCCAAAATTCAAAGAGGACCACAATAGTGGGAAGTTATATTTCCTGTGTGTATGTCTACTGTAAGAGGACTTACTTCCAACTTTGGAAGTAAACTACCAGGATTTGAGCTTGCCACTTTCTACCTGGGTGGTTTTCAGCTAGTCTTGTTAGCTTTCTTGGTCAGTTTTCTCATCTATAAAATGAGAGGAATAGTGCATGCCTTATTGGGCTATTGTGAGTTATGATTCTATATATATTGTATAACTTTGAACATAGTAAGTGCTACCTAAGTTTCGTATCTTAAACTTCCACTGAGTATTATGAGGCAGAGAAGCTGGGACTGGTATTTCTCTATTTTTTATTTGTGGAAGTTGAAATCCTGAAAATGATTTGTATTTTGTGGCTCTAAGGCTGGAAAATGGAGTTTGTCTATAGGGCAAGTTCTTTGCTCCTGACAAATCACCGTGGTGAAACTCATTTTCCTTGAAGAAACACTGAACTTTGAACATTTAAATGAAACCATTTTAGAATAAGGTGCTAAATATACTTATTAACTAGGTAAGGTTATCTTTATTATGAATGTTTTTGAGAAATAAACATAAAGAACATAATTTGGAGGTTTATATACAGGCTAGAGATACATTTCAGGGGCTCTATACTTGGGAACTATAACATAATCAAGAGGTTCTATAGGAGACAGGAAAAGAAGGTGAGCAAAAGGCTGGGGATTTAGTTCAGGGGTACAGCACCTGCCTGGCAAGTGTAAGGTCCTGAGTTCAATCCCTTGTACAAAAAAAAAAAAGAAGAAGAAGAGTAAACATAAATAAAAAAGAAAATTCAGGGTGATAAAGGGATACTACTGGGAACTCCTACGACAAGGCATAGTCAATGGCATTAGGGACAGTAAAAATTTATAGTCAGCTTTAAGAATTTTCTTTCTTGATTTATAATTCCATCATGCCATTTTCGAATCTTTCGATGACACGTCACAACTATGTGTCATCTAGATTTGAATAACAAATGATTATCATTGTGGTTTTTTCCATGTGAGATAAAGCTGATCAGAACATGGAACCTCAGACTTTAAGTTATTTGAGTATTAAAAGCAAGTTAACATATTTCAAATTTTTTTCTTTTCTTTTTTGATACCTGGGATTGAGCTTGGGCCCGTGCGCTTGTAAGGCAGGTGGCAGAACGGCTGAGCTAAATCCCTGGCCTCTAAATTTTTTTAAAATCAAAGATTGAACAAAATTCTCTTGGGTGAGAAGGGGTGATTTTTCATTCAAATTTAGAGAATTGACTTTGAAATGAAATTTGAATGTTATGGATTGAATGGACATATGAATCAAGGCTGTTAAAATGTTCATATCCCTTTTACCTGATATTTCCACACTGAGCTCTCAGTTAAGGAAATGCAGGCTAGGAATGAGATTTAGGGATTTTGGACTTGGTAAGTATGGAGTGTTTATATAGTAGCATTGTTCAGTAGTGCAAATATGAACAGCAATATTGTTTGTTATAATGAATGAAATATTTAATTTCATTAAAAATATAAATATTTTTGCTGCTTAAGAAGTTATTACAACATCCACGTACTAGTTCACAGTTCTATTAGCCATAATTTTGTTCTACTGGGTCCTACTTAGGACAC